TACTGTAGTCTTTTTAATTAACTCCCACAATGCATCCAGAAGGTACACAAATTCACCTTCACGTAATGGCTAGCCTGTTTCAATTTGTCCACAGTGGTACAAATGGACAGACAGAACGTGCCAGTCGAGTGGTCAGTGATGTCTTGCAAAGTTTCTGTGTGGAAATTCCCGCAGAATGGAGTTTGTTGTTACCACTGGTTGAGTTTGCTTTGAGCGAATGGTTCATTCATCTACTGATTTTATACCACTTATTATGAAAGGATTTTTTATACCCGCGCCCACGGCTTCCAGACTTTGCCCGAATTGTCGGCGATTTGGAGTCTGTCATTGACCAGCTCAGCTTCCTTCTCGATTGTCAAGACAACCTTCGAGTAGTCGAGCAAGTGTCTGGGGAACTCCCAGTAGCAACGACCTTGGAGCTATGTGCCGGATCGAAACGTTATACTATGCGTGAGGTGGTCACCAGCATGCATCGGCAAAATGTACTTGGACGAGCCGTTGTAGCGGTTGCAGAATGTTTCGGACAACAGCACGTAGTCCAATCGGCTCTTCCGTGAGAGCGGACTAGTGAATATGCGCTTGATATGATATATCCGCCATGCGTTAACAACACCAAGCCTTCTTAATCACTCGAGGCCGCTGGATCAATTCGGATCGTAGTGCAAGTCGGGCGTAGAGCATTCGAGTCGTGGATCGAGCGGCGTGTTCAAGTAGCCAATCACGAAGTGCGTCGGGCAATTCTCAGACTCGTCTTTGTCCAAGCACTCAAAGAGTTGCTGCATCTTCTGGCGATCGACGGGTGCGTACACGCTGTGAATATTTATGGAAGCAAACTCAACCACCCCCTTTATAACGAGGTACCGGTTGTGAACAGACAAGCGAGATACTTTTATAGCCGGGTCGAAATCCGGGAAGTCGGAGCATGGCACGGTCACCACACTCCTGCTTCGAGAGCGAGTAGGTCGATCCACAGTGTATTTGGGTCATTGACAAAGAGCTTGTGTGTGAAGCTCGAGTCGAGATGGAAGTTGAACGTCGAGAGGTGTTGCGCGTCACTGATCTTGGCTTATTGGAAGCAGGACGCCGAGCCTAGAGACAAGATGCTCAATGAATAGGTGGCCGTTCTTCTTGATACCATTTGTGTTGGCAGCCATGAGTCTGAGGCCGTTCTAGGCGTGCTGGGACGAATGGCCTTTTGCAACGAGTCACCAAGGCCTTCGCCACTGTCATCACCCAGCCATCACTAGCAACGCAGATCTTCGGCACCAAGACGATCACGATGTGGTCAGGTTTTGTCGTGTTCTCAATGATCTTGATGATTCCACTAACCTTTGGGTCTGCTGCAATTAAGCGGCCAGGCAGCGCGTCGAGCAGCGCCGTGTTCTCGTTGTTCAGCATCGACTCAGTCACCTCTATCATTTATGTCGCCTTGACCGAAGTGCTTTTTAATGATAAACGCCGACTCGATCGATGTTTCCATCGATTTGGGACGCCATCCACTGACAGACACGATCTGCTTGCGCACACCGTGCTTTTTGTCGTGATAACCTTCAATTCGAACTCCACTTCCATCGACTAGAGTAACCTGAAGTAGTTTGACGTGGTTTGACGTAGCAATACCGTCGAGAGGCTGTAGAACCTGGCTGGTGAGCAGCGCGGTGAAGTCGATGTATTTGCAACTGCGTTTTTTACGGTTCGAAACTGCGTGGAATCCATCGGCGTGCCACCGAGGAGAAGAGAAGGTCCGCCAACACCAGCGTGTTGTCTGGGTTTCTCGAGATCAGCGCGAGTTGGTTGCCGGCAGCTGGTGACTTGCCATATTGAGCGCCACCATAAAGCTTTGCATCACGTTTCTTGTTTCAGCCTGTTAGAGCGAGGTTTTGGACTCGCCTGACGTCATTTGCGCGAACGTCTTGGGTAGTACCGGTCATTTCGTTGCTACAGAGGCCTTCTGTGTTTGATGAAAGTTTCAATAGGTTTGTATCGGCTGTATCGTCGTGGTTGGGGCAGCGAGAGGTGCGCTTGCCAGGAAGATATCGTCACTCGTGTGCAGGTCGATGCCGTGGTGTAGATGTTAC